CGCCACATGCTTCCTAACCAGTCACCCTTGAGGAAGATCACACTGGTGGTTGCTGGGCTCTCCAATTTCTCAGTGGCTAAGGTACCTCCCTCCAGAGCCAAAGGTCGAGGGCTTGAGCCCTGCCCCACGCCCCACCTCCCAGGGACAGCCAACCCATGTTCCCCAGAGATGGAGGTGGCACCAGTGGGATGTAGGATGGATAAGGGGGGCCCAGAATGTAGGCAGCTTGGGGTGAGGACTCCTTGAGTGGTGCAGTGGAGAAGGTACCTGCCTCCAGAACTATAGGTCAAGGGCTTGAGCACCGCTCCCTGGGAACAGCCACCACCACCACCACCAGCTTGGTGATGGATGGACAGACCTGGCACCCTTGGAACAAAGGAAAGATAAGGGGGGGCCCGGAAGACTAGATGATGACATTACTGTGTCCACAAACCAGGAAGCATGTTGGTAAATGGGAGGCCATTCAGAGAAGACCCAGGAGAAACATCAAAGCAGGGGTGGGGAATGTAAGGCCCAGGGGACTGGATGCAGCCCCCAGCTTACCTGAAGCCAGCCCTTGAGGCTCAGGGCTTGCCCCCCAGCATTGGGGAGCCCAGGAGCACACACAAATCTATGCACCTGGTCCCACTAGGCTCTGGTGCATGGGGGGAGTGTCTTTCTCCTTCTCCATCAGGCACCACATCAGTGAGGTTTTAGCTTTTGGTTTTTTGCTTCTCACTTGTGTGCAGCCCCCGACTGATTTTTCTGTGGGTCAGTGGCCCCCGACCCAAAACTATCTCCCACTCCTGGATTAAAGAGTTGGCAAACCTGCCTTATCGCGACCAACTCGAGGACCTCAATCTCTTTATCGGAACAAAGAGAAGGCGAAGGAATCAGTCTGTAAAAACCGGCCGGGGTGGGGGGAAATATTTAGTCATGGGCTGAGACAGGGCTACCATGATCTAATGGCTGGAAACCAGCGCTAGGCACACTCAGATTAGAAATAAAATGGACATTGTTATCCGGGACGATAATCAACTGCTGCAACCATTGACCAAGGGTCTCCATTACTGGCAATGCATAGACTAAGACTAGATTTTTTCCCCCTAAAAGATCAGCTCTAAGAATGATTTTTGAGACGATCGCTGGGTTTGCAATACAGGACGTGATCACAATGGTGCCATCTGGCATAGGCATCTATGAATCTAACACTGGGCTGTCACTGAGTGTGATCTCTCGCCTTAGATAAGATATATACAGGCAGTCCCCGGGTTACATGGATCCGACTTACATCAGATCCCTACTTACAAACGGGGTGAGGCAACCCCGCACTAGCTGCGCCCCCCCCCAGCGGACAGCCAAGACGCGCTGCGGTAGATCCCTACTTACAAACGGGGTGAGGCAACCCTGCCCTAGCTGCTTCCCCCCAGCAGACCAGGGAGATGCGGAGCGGCTTTTCTCAGCAGACACCTCAGCTTGAGAATAAAGGACTGAGGGAAGTGAGGTGTGGGAGAATAAAACTGAGCTCTGGAGAAATGTTTGGCTAGAGTTTCCCCTACAATATGTACCAGTTCCGACTTACATACAAATTCAACTTAAGAACAAACCTACAGTCCCTATCTTGTACGTAACTCGGGGACTTCCTGTATTCTTAAAATGCTTGCTGGTATTTTTTTTTGTGCTTTTCACCAGCCCAGAGAGTGGTCTCTGAACTGCATGATTCTGGGACCAAGAGCAGCAGCTAATCCTGGAGTAAATAAATAATAAAAAAAAACTAAATAAGATTATCAAGAGACTCCTTGAGAAGTTACTTATTGGTCCAAATGGCAACAAATCCAGTTCCACTCTCTTCAATAGGGAGATTCACACTGGGTCCCTTTCTTGAATTTTCCCCACAACTAGGACACCACAATTCATCACTCGTCACCCGAGGCCAAAGACTGGACTTGCGCAGACGTCTGGGCAAGTACGATTGGGTCCCACTATGGCGGCAAATTATTCTTGCACCTCAAGCAAAGAAAATCCATTTTCTCTTTTGGAATGAAGGGCCTCCAAAGCAAAGTCAACTTCATGGCAACCTGTGAGTCTAGATAAAGGACACTCATCCGCTCAGTTCTCTTTTATACTTACAGGCAGACCAGAGTCCCATTGGAGTAAGCTTCACACTTTCCTCCATTCAAGCAGACTTCGGCAGACTGTGGGCAGTCGTAACCTGCAAACAGAAGGTGAGAATTAAGCAGGCGTTAGGCCTTGTCTACACGACAAAGTAATGTTAATCTAACTTATCTCGGCAGACAGCCGCCGCAGTAATTACATCGCTGGGTGTGTCGGCATTTTGCTCCCTGTGTCAGCATCCTTAGTAGGAACGCTTGTATTGAAAGAACTGGCCATCTGCGGCATTGTGGGATAGCTTCTGAAGGCGAGTAACAGTTGACGTTAGCAACGCAGCATCCCAACGGAAACTGTGTCGGCTTCACTACGTCAGCTTTGACTTTGCGCCACTCAGGGAAGTGGGGTTAGTAAGTCAGCGTCGCAGGGCAATTCTGTCAGTGGCAGGGACGCAAAATAAAACCGTGTAACTGCTAAAAGTCATAAACTTTATACTGCACAGCTACAGCAAAGCAACCTTCCCAGGAGCTGCCAGCCCCGTTCCCAGGGAGACTTCGCTGTAAGCTCTGCAGCCGACTCCCTGGTCCAGGGGAGCCAGCGTAGGACCTGCGGCAGGGGAGGGGGCCGGGCCGACCATGGACAGGGTCTGCTCCAGTGTTCGAGGGAGGGTGGGGAGCTGCTCCAGCCTCTACCAATTACATGGAAACGGTAAGTCACACCCTAGTTGGCAGGAGTGAAATCTGAGCATAGACACTTCCATAGTGTGGTAAACTGTCTTGCATGGACCTAACTCTGTAGTGTAGACCAGGCCTCAACATCTTGATGTCTAAGCCCCAGAGGAGCTGAGCAAAGGCCTTTTCTCACTGATGTCAGTGAGTGAGGGAGGAGTAGCAGGTCCATGTAAGAAGAGTGTGCACTGTGGGCGGCGGATAACAAAGGCAAGGGAAGGCATTGCCTTCCCAAAACTGCCCTGGACCTGGGGCCGTGCTGTGTGGCATCCTGGTGGCCGGGGAAGCTTGGGGTTTCATCCCTCAGATGGGGTTGGGCGGGGCTTGGCTGAGGTGCAGGAGTTGTTG